CCAATATATGGCTTCCACCAAATAAAGGAACATCTTACGAATTTAGAAAAAAGAGAACAAACCCTGGAATCGTGGTCCATCCTATTGCCTGGCCTTATTTCAAAAGTTTGTGACTCAGAGCCTTGGATTCGAAGTTTTTGCATCGGTTTGGTTTCATCAAGGCTCCTTTTTCAGGAGAATACCGTATGAAATGGCCATTTATTGACTTAGAACTTGTGGAAGCCATATATTGGATCGATAGTTTCCATTGTGCTTTCGAGCTTGAATAATTTGGATGAGGAAATTCAAGTCGATGCGGTCTTTCTGCTGTCGGCCATCATCAATGCCATCGACTCGAACATTTTCCGAAAGTACATTGCCCAAATAATTTCGTCGCTATCCACCTGGCTGCATGGCATTTCCACACCTAGTCGTCTGCAGCGAATGTCCAGATTTGGGAAGCTATTCAATGCTAAAGAGGGGGTGTCTTTTTGGATCAATTTCTTCCGCTGCCTGTTTGCCAAAGATAGTGATAATCTGGCCAACGCAGCAAAAGGTCCCATCACGGTTATCTATCCATTGCCCTTCAACAGGCGATTGTTATTGCCTCCACGAAAGACCGTYTACTCTCCAGTGGAAGCAAAATGGGAAATAGAAGCCATATTGCCAATCAAAGCGCAAAATCTAGACGAACTAAATGCCCTCACTTCAATGAAAGATCTCTCCCCCTCCGAGATTATTTTTGCGATTGCCAAATTTATCACTACTCTTAAATTAAATTAAAGCTACACGTTGGAATCAGCACTAGCCTAGCACGTGCTTCTCACAAATTAGCCAAAAATTCTGGGGTGTAAAGACACCATTATTCCTGGTTTCGTTTGTGTGTAGACAAGTCTTTAATTAAAGCTTTTGTTTAAAAGGCGATTGATGGATTGAGTACAGAACGGCCTTTATTGGGGGTCTATGATAGCGAAAAGGGACCATAAGAGCTGAGAAGCCAATAGAGGGTATCGGAGATGGCACCCAAGCCACCTAGAACCCCTATTAGTTGGATAATGAGAAGCGAAAGCTCGCCAAAAGATCCGCTCTCAGAGGTAAAAAGCGATTTGTTTGTTTGTTCAATGATAACTGACTCAAAGTCAAACTGCATGAAGATGCCAAACTTTCCAACGGCATTTTCAGATAATGAACGGGAGTACGACTGGGCAGCATACTGGAAAGAGGACACTCCACTTGAGGATAGAATCGGAAGGATAGATTTTTTACTCCAAAATGTTGGGATGATACTAATAAAGTATTGGTTGAAAAAAAAGGGATTCTCATTGACTCCGCTGGATGAAACGCCATTTAACGGCGAGATGCGATTAGGAAAAGCGTCTCCAAACTCCAGTCTATGAATGGTGTGGTTAAAGGAAACACGACGATCTATTTTGATCACAGGCTGGATAAATCCGTTTTTCTCCATTAGCCCCACATGTCCAACTGGAATAATTTGAATCGATCCGGCCACCCGTGCAAGAGAGATCCTTCCAGAAATTCGACAAACATTAGAGACACTGGAATCCATCTGCAAAAGATGACTAACTATGACGTTGTATCCGCCAGCCCTGGAGTATTCAATGGCAATTTCATCACAAGGACTTGACACGGAAAGATCTAAATCAGCAAAGAACTCCTCAACCACTGATTGGTCAGTGGCTATAGCGAGCGTAGACTTGGCCCCTGGAAAAAGGGCCTGGTAAATTGTAAAAAAAATAAATAAAAAGAAAAAAGAATACAAGATCAGCGTGGATACAAC